CTTAGATTAACGATACAGTGATTGCTAGGAGTATAAGCCAATAATGTTTCCTTGTTTTTTTATCTTTTTTCTTTTTCTCCCTATGGTGACTTTGTTGTGTCCAATCCACTGCAGTTCATAATTTAGCCCTGGGGTATAGTCCAAGAGTCCACAATGTAGCTACATTAGATCTGAGTTAAGCAGATCTGGACATGGAGACAGAACCACAGGGCATCACATACTCTCAGAGGAAGTTGCTTTGAGTTTCACAGTGTAGGAAAACTATATATATATTACTTAGGTAAACCAAAACTTACAATAACTTGAATATACTTTCTCATAAAAAAACAAATTGTGAGAGGGTTTATTTTCCTCTTGATAAACAAGAGCCAGTTAATACTGCATAGTATGCACTTGGCAACAAAAGTCTAATGATTTCAAAAACTGCCAACCTGCAAAAATTGTATCGATGACTATATTCAACAATGGCTTTGTTTCGGTCATGCCAGGAAACAAAATCTACAAGTTTGAGTGGATTAATAGTGGCTATAGTAGCATAATTTTAAATGCCTGACTGAGTTTTCCCTTCCCTCCCTTTTATTATCTAGTGAATGAGGGTGGAGCTAGTTCAGGCTCCTTCCTCAAGCTTTCTCTGTTTCCAGAGTTTAAAGCATGCTTGCATTTATGTAATGACTGTCTCTGCCTAGTTTTTTCAAGGTCTTCTCTGTGGTTCTCAACAGCTTCACTTCACCTCCAGACCTGATGGCATAACCAGGTCTTGAGGGACTTCCAGAAAATCAACAGGGATGGAGCCAGCCTCACTTCGGGGGGAGGATGTTCCATAAAGCAGGTCCGACGACAGAGAAGACCTGCCTCCTGGGACCTGCCAAACGTAGCTCCCTAGCAGACGGGACCTGTCGCATGCCTTTTCTGCCGGATCTGATGGGACGGGCAGATATAATCAGGGAGAGGCAGTCCCTCAAATACCCCATCCCATGCAATCTAGGGCTTTAAAGGTCAAAACCATCAGCTTGAATTGAACCTTGAAGCAGACTGGCAACCAATGCAGCTCGCAGAGCAGAGGTGTAATGTGTGTTGTTCTAGAGACACACATAATTGCCCGCGCTACTGCATTTTACACCAGCTGAAGCTTCCGGATATTCTTCAAGGGCAGTCCTATGTAGAGAACAGTAGAAGTAGTCCAATCGAGAGGTGAGTGACCATGAGCAGAGCCCCCTGATCTAGGAATAAGTGCAACTGGTGCACAATATGAAATTGTGCAAAATCCGTCCTAGCCACGACTGCCACCTGCTCTTCAAGCAGGAGTTTTGAGTCCTGGAGGACCCCAGGTTGTGCACCGGGTCTGTTTGGGGCAGTGCCCCATCCAGCACCAAAGATGATATAGTCCTAGAACTGGCAGGCCCTAAAACCCAAAGCCACTCAGTCTTGCCAGGCACTGGGATAAGACGTCCACGCATTGCTTAATTCACCAGGGCAGAGATGTATAACTGGGTATCATCAGCATACTGATGATACCTCACCCCATGGCGATGGGTGAACTCACCCAGCAGCCTCATATAGATGTTGAATAGGAGCGGAGAGAGCACTGAACCCTCTGTGGCACCCCACAGAGCAGGGGCTGAGGGTGGGATCTCTCCCCCAAATCACTAGCAACTAGAATAGATCCCAGAGAAAGGAGGTGAACCAGCACAGCACTGTGCCGCCCACCCCCAATCCTCTGAGTCAGTCCAGAAGAATACCATGGTCGATGGTATTGAAAGCTGCAGAGAAGCCAAGTAGGGCAAGGATGGATGCGCAATCCCCATCCCAAAACCTTTTGTTTTTTTCAACAAATATTCATCACAACAGATCCCTTACTATCTTTCTGCCAACATTTGCACATCTTAAAATTTCCCAATCCATTTTCCCATTTCTGGTAAATATTCTTTTTAGGTATACAAAGTCATTTGTTT